CCGAGGAGCTTACCAGGCAACTTCCCGAGAGGCACTGTATGTTTGCGCCCCACATGTCTTTCCCAGCCAGCAATGACAGCCTTGCTCCACAGAAGTTTCCCCCGCATGCGAGGGAAGAAAAACTCAAGTGCTGCAACTGTATCCACGAATTTCGCTGGAGTGAGGTTCTCAATCTGATCATTTTTGAACTCAACTAGAAGGTCGCCCCATTCGTCTGCACCGCTGGGACGCAGGCCGCGCTGAAGGGCCCAAGTCGAAAACCGAAGCCTAGCGCTGCGATATACTTCTAAAGTCTTCTCAGTCACTCGCGCGGCTTGGTCAGGGTCGACTCGACGAGGTCCGACTCGCCGAGCGCACCAAGCCACTCCGCTTCCTCCTTGACAACTCATCAGCTGTCTGGTGCGCGGTGTCCACCCAGGGTAGGTATAGTTTGATGCCTGTTGCCACTGAAAGTGCACTAATCCTCCTCAGCAGGTAGTTGAGATGCGGGGCCGACGAGCGCCCCTTTGCTGCAGCTGAGGCCAACGGTTCATTATCCTCCATGTTGCAGATAGCGTGGTCATGTGCTCCCGGAAGAAGAGAGAGCGCCTGGCAAAGCCTGACCACGGCTCGGCCTTCTCCCAAGATGATGTGGTCAGGCAGGCGCCACCGCCCCGCGTCCAGCTCGTGCCGCATCTCCTGAGGGATCTGCAGCAGCTCACGCGGGATGCGTGACACCGGGATGCGGCCTCGCAGCTCTCGATCGGCACGATTCAAATGGAGGACCGTGCCGTCCAGCCTGGAAACCGCATGCCCAGGCCTCGTACCCGCTACGATAACTTGCTCCGACTCACTCTGGGTGATGGGCGTCACGACGATGCCGTACCCGCCATGGTCGACTCGGTTGGCACCCTCCGCATCCGAAGCAAAGAGTGCAGGCGCTGCAGGTATGTCCAGGACACACGACATCATCGGGATCATGTCTCTCATGACGCGCACCTCGCGGCGGGCAGAGGCCCACCATCGTGCAACTTGGCCCTGTCTCTTCTCAAGCAGGTCGAACACTGCGGCAGGGATAGCCATGAGTTCGCGCCTCAGGAGCGCTCCCCACAGCCACACGCCCACCAACGCCCTGAGCAGCTCCACGTCCACCCAGGGCGTCTCCATGATCCACGTAAGTGCCGCCTCCAAACAGCTGGCTTTGCCACCAGCCAGCTTCAGTCGTGGCGGAAAGTTCTGCAACTCGTAGCCCACGATCTTCGAGCCCTCCTCGATCCTCTCGCGCTCGTTGACGACGAAGCCGGCCTGCTCCCAGGCGTCGGCGACCTTCTGCATCATCTGCTCGCTCACCACGGCAGCCGACCCGCCCCTGGGGCAAGCAGCTATGTTGAGCCCGTCGTCCACGTGCACGTAGATCGCCTGGAAGTCTGGGCGCAGCCGCACGCTGCCGCCCCGACGGTACAACTCGTTCAGCACGAAGAGGCCCTCCTTCTCACTCTCATAGCTCCACTGGGTGTGACGCGGCTTCTCACGCCCCGTCCTGAGCCACCCTCCTGGTCCTCGACCCGTGGTCAGCATCCGAAGCGCCGTCCTGACCACACCAAGGGCGATCATGCGGCACAAGCCAGGCGGGTAGGCCTGCAGCCGGCGCGACCTGAAGATGCCGCGCTCGTTCTTCCCGTAGGCCTTCTCGTGACGGTGTCTCCCATCACATAGCAGCGCCTGCTCGCCAATGCCGTCCAAGTTCGAAGCCAGGGTGGTAGGCTTCTGAGACGGTCCCCCGGACATGCACTGGTCGATCCTGGTGATCTGCACGCCGTGCCGCTCCAACATGCCCTTCACTGCCTCCAGGTCCCAGATGCTCGGGTACGGCTCCTCCTCTGGGTCCGCAGGGTGCTCGAACAGGTACCCCCCCCCCGTACTGCTCCTCCACGTCGCACAAGGCCAGGTGGTTGAAGAGCAGCACGTTCGCCTCCGTGACCCTCACGCGCTCCTCCTTCGTCAGGTCGCTCCTGCCCAGGGGCTCCGACCGAAATCGAAGTGGCCGAGGACCTCCTCCGTGGAAGCGCGCTCTACTCCACGTGGCACAGGGGGGTGCGCCAATGATAATGTCAATGAGGCCTTGTTCGATCATTTCCAACAGCATAGCGATCAGCTTGGGGTCCGCCAGATCCCACCTGTGATCAAAGGCAAGATCCACTCCGAAGAAAAAGATCGCCACCCCGTATTCGACAGCAAACTCCTCCACATAGTGCTGGATATCCATCTTCCTCCGGCCCCCCGCGAACGTGTGCAGCACGATGATCACTCGGTGACGCTCATGCTTCAGCTCGCAGACTTTAGCCGAGAAGGCCTCGGGGGAGAGCCCAGCCTCTTGGCGCCGTTCAGCGCGGCGCAAGGCCTTCTCCTTGACCCACTCGACGTCCTCCACTACGGCCTCGTCAGGAAGATCACTCAACTGGTTCTTCATGGACTCTCCGAAGGCGGCCGACCTCACCAGTGTCCTCCCCACTGCCTCCAGGTTGATGCACATCAGGATGTGAACAGCATGAGACAAACCCATCGGTAGTCTGGTATAGCACGGGCACACCAGAGACCACTCCTGGAGTACGCTCCTCATGTCCACGGGTAGCAAGGACCACTCTGCTGCTGCTGGGATGGCGGGGGTCGCCATCCACTTCCACATCCACTCAGGCAGGAGAACTGAAGAGAAGGCGTTGCTCTCATCACATCGTGCCATGTGTATCTCCATGCCTGGCGCCCGCATCATGGCAAGCGCACCTCCTCCGCCTAGTCCGTGTTCACCACGGCGTCGCACATCACTCCAGAGATAGTTGGTGGGCACTGCCATGATAAGCTTCCTCAACTTATAGCCGTCCTTCTTCAAAACTGCTGAAACTCCAGTGATCGTCATCACCCAGCTCCTTGGCCTAAACACCCACAGTCCCGGCGGAAGGTCATCACGATGAAGGTAGGATATCCACTGCTCCATCAGGCCCCCAAAGAACCCAAACTGCCTCTCTAGTTCCTCCACGTGCTGCATGGACTTGCCCGCCATCTCGACGACGTTCTCCTCCTTCTCGTAGTACTCTGCCTCGTCGGCAGGCAACGCCTCGAGTAGCGGGACAACCTTCAGCGTCGTCACTTCGTCCACTCTGTTGGCAATGAACTCCGTGTGGACGTCTCTCTTGTGCACTCTCCTGTAGCCTATCTGGTCCAACTTCAGTAGCTCACACGTCGCTTGTACGCCTGTCACTGGGAACAGCCGGCGAACATTGAGCTGGTCCTTTGCGTGCTGGATCGCCCGCGCCTGGACCCGCCCGACCGCAGAGTTCGTCGTCACCTCATTGCTAAACTTCTGCCGCCACGGTGTGGTCTGCTGCTTCATATTGCCCAGGTAGGTCGAGTTGAGAGCACAGAGCACTCGATTGGCAACCTTCCTCACCATCTGCTTTCGATGTAGCCGCTGCCTACTCCGACCTGAACGCACCGACACACGACCTGGCTGTGCAAGAAGTGGAACTGGTAGGACCGCATCGCTGGCACCGAAAGCAGAGGCCATTTCAGATATCGAAGGGAAACTCTGAGTGTAACTGAACTTCGCATCTTCACTAGGCTTATCTGGTTTGGCAATCCATCTCTCCCCCCCTAGGCCGGTACCCTCTGGTCTTCTCGCTCGGCGGCGGATGAGGCTGAGCAGTGCGTGACTGGGGGGCTCCCCCCAGCCCGGTACCCTCTGGCCTCCCAGACCCGCCTTGAGCGAAGACTGAGCAGTGCGTGCCTGGGGGGGCTCCATCACCATCCTCGAACTGAAACTGTCGCTGCCCTACGCGAGCATCTCGAAGCCCTCCACCCCGCGACTCATGGTGGAGGGCCCCCGGCAGGCGTCAGCCTACCGAGCCCTTGTCACCACGACCACGGCCCTTGTCCTTGTCCTTCCCCTTGCCGCCGTTCCGTCGTCGTAGCTCAGCTGCAACTCGTTCAGCCCGTTGGTGCTCCATCTTGCTGTGCGTCGTCGCCTCCGTGATGAGCCAGCCAGGCGCGATGTCCATGCCGCTCCCAGGGGCGGTGTCTGCCCGCAGCCTGGCTGCTCCCGCCTTGTCGTGCGTCCGTGACTCGTACACGTAGGCCGACAGATGGCGCAACCCTATCTCCACATTGTCATTCGTGTTGAGACAGATCATCAACTCCTGGTCATTCCCGCACTTGCCTAGCTCGAAGTCCAACGTCGCCGCTGTGCTCCACAGCGACTGCCACTGCCCCCCTCCTCGATATCCTGAGTACTGAGACTGAAGCCAATGTCTAAAGCTCGTGCTCCCAGCCGCGCGTATATTCCGATAGATCTCCATCCCCGCCCTCTTGAAGTCTGGCGGCAGCGAGTGGGCCCAGGCGTCCACCTCGGCTCCTCCAGCGGCCACCGCTGGCGCCCCGAACGTGCCATCGAACGTGTTGGTCGTCTCCATATTCTCGAACCCCGACAGCACCGCCTTCAACGACTCCACGTCGGGCGCCGAGCGGGTCTCGGCTCCCACATAGCCACGAGCAGCGAGGGCGGCTCGCACTCCAGGATTCAAGTCGCCAGCCTGCTCCAGCTGGTAGACGTAGTTCCAGAAGCGTCGTCCCCACCACGGGTCTGAGCTCGCCCCGGCGTGTAGCATCATGAGCGCCTCCTTCACCTTCTCGGCACATGCCGCTGCAGAAGTGGCAGCCTGCAGCCCTGGCCCTGGCCCGCCTGGGCCACCCCCTGGCACCGTAGGCATAGCTGCTGCCGTGGTCGGGCCCGCGCCCGTCGCGGGCTGCGCTGGCAGGCCCGACGGTGCAGCAGTCCACGACAGCGGCCCTGTGCAGCCCCCCCCCTGGGCGAAGGCGTGGAACGCGTCCATGGCGGGGTCCACGCTATGGGGGGGGGCTGACGGCACCCCAGGCTGTACCATGCCTGGTGGGGGTGCGCTCGGCGGCGGACATGCTGGCAGCTCGGGCGCACCTCCGCCACCCACCTGCATCAGTGCCGCTCGCAGGGCCTGCGTCCAGCGTCAGGCTCGCCAGCTGGGCGCGAAGGGCCTCCACCTCGGCCTGCTGCCCCGTGGCGGCGCGCCACCAGCCTCGTACCGTCTGGATGCCGACCCAGATGGCAGCCACCACGATCAGCGCGGCGACCAGGCCGAGGCGCATCAGGCTCCCGCGGCCCGTCTCGGCGCGCCAAGCCAGCAGCGCGACGAGCAGGCCCAGGGAGCCCAGCGCCCGCGGCGCGAGCCACCAGCCGAAGCTCGCGAAGGCGCTCGGCTCGGGCGCCGCAGCGCTCGCGGCGCTGCCTATCTCCGATGGCGGCGGAGGGACCATCAGTGCGCGGCGGGCATCTGTGACCTCCCTGGATGGCCACCGCAAACCTGGCCCCTCAGGCCGTCATTGTTGCGGTTGACCCGAAAAGCTATGGAAGCACGCTTGCTGTTGGGGAGCAAAGCTGGACCAACACTATACATTAATACCCGCTCGAAGACTCTCACTTCATCATACATACGTGCATGCATGCATGCATACATACATACCTGTATACACGTACATATATACGCACATACATACATACATACATACATACATACATACATACATACATGCATGCATGCATACATTTGTATGTTCATGTGTTGGCGTGCCTGGGTGCTTGCGCTCCATGATTCCCAACGCAGTGCTTGCACTGAGGGGTTCCTACGTGCACAGGAAGGTGGTGAAAATAATAGCCCCGATTGCATGTTGTTGCCTGGTGCCCCATGGGTGGCGATCTTTGACTGCCTCTCTATGATGGCTTAGTGGGTGCGATCCCTCGTTCTCGTGTCGTATGGATTACTCACGATGGTTGTGATTAATCGGAGCTTGCGGTTTATCGTTAGCGCCCTGCTGCGAGTTCTCGCTCTTGCCTCGGAGCCCTATTGTTGGCGCCATGCCTCGTAGACCGCCCTTTGGAAGAAATTGAGGTTGGGGGCGGGAGTATGTGTGCGGCTTTCCGTTTTGGACACGCTTCGCGTCGCATTGGTCATCGATTCGCATATCTGTCTATCGAACCAGATACGTGTCCTGTTGATGAGCGAGCCGGGTGGCTAGTCATGTGACGGCCGATCAGCTTCGCACAAATTTTGTGTACCCACGTGTGGATGCATCATTGTGGTGATGCACGTGTGTGTGTGTGCTGTTTTTTGGTTCATGCTTGCAAGTCCACATGTTGGAATCAGCTTACCGTTATAGTTAGAAGGCATCTTCGGTCACGGCGCCAAGTGTTGATATGAGCAGTATGGTTCGTCGTTTCATATGTCATCCGATCGGACTATAAACACGTATACGTATACATGACGATATATATATATATATAGATGTACCTACGCGAATATGTTATATGATGCAACAGGTGTGTGTGTATGTACATACACACATACATGGGTATTTTGCGGAAGGTGGCTTGCGTTTGGAGTGTGCCACTGTGCATGTCATTGCGCTGTTCATGTTGTACACTTAAGCATACCCAGATCGACATGCTTACATATAGCACGCTACGCATCTATCCTAGTCCGTGCGGTGTTCCTTTACGCCGCTTTGTTTTCACTAGGTAGATAGACCACTCTCTATCTGAATCACCAGAAGGTGTACGCTTCGTTTCCCGTGCCGATTCCCATTTCTCACGGAGTTCACCGCGGGGCATTTTTCGGGCCACCCGCAGCACATTTTACGGGACAATCCACGAGACAGCCACGGGACACCCCACGAAGCATTCCGCGGGACAGCCATGGGGCAACTCGCGGAACATCCGACGGGACGACCGCGGGACAACCATGAGACAACCCGCGTAACAATGCGCAGGACACCCACAGGGCAATCCACGGGATGACCACAGGACAACCACGGACAACCTACGGGACAGCCCGCAAGTGAGCTCGAGGCCTACCGAGAAATGGTTATCTGACATGACCCTGGCTTCGGCCGCCGTGTCGTCGCACCCGCGCAGCGTCGCCTCGCCCGCACGCTTTTCAGTCAGCGGCCGCAAGGGGATCAGACAGCGGTCGAGCGGCGCTGGGGCGCGCCGGGACACAGCTAGGCACCGCGGGGCGAGAAGCCGGGGAGGCCGCGAGAGAGGGAACCACACTCAGGCCATGTAAGTCTTTGTGTGCACGCCGAGGTGCAAGTTTGTAAAGTGCGAGGCGTAGAAGGGGGCGAAGTCGCAGGTGGAGCCGTCGGGGAGCCCGACAAGGGTTGAGGGAACGAGCGTTCTCGTCAATCTGCTGGAAACAAATCCAGGTTTGGGCGTCCCCCATGGAACCCACTTAGGAAGGCTGAGGAGACAGGCAATGTGGGAACCCTACAGCGCGAAAGCCGCGCGGATATTGGGCGGATAGTGTCGGCCAGGTGAGCGGACCGTGAGGGAAGGCTACCAGGCCGAGGAGCGACGCCGGAGGGTCGTGGGACAACAACCAGCGACGGGGATGGACCAGGAGGATGCCGTCGACATCGTCGAAGAGCAGCGTCATATCCCAGCGCTGGGCCAGATTGCGCAGCGCGGGCAGCTGACAGGCCGCGGCCTGAAGATTGGCCGGCCGCCGTCGCCATGGCGGCGCCGGGGGGGGAGAAGGGAGGGGAAGGGGGGAAGCAGGAGCGGGCAGGAGAGTCGGGCAAGGGCCTGGCGAAGCACTAGGGGGGGCCAAGAGCCCAAGCATTGCGAAGAGAAGCGCCAGGGGACCAGAGGGTCAAAAGGCCAGAGCAGCATGGGAAGAATGACGTGCAGACGCCAGCATGCCAAACGTCCGAGCAGCGTGGCCAGAGACCAGGGCGCAAGACCCAGAGGGCACTGTGCGCCCAGCGTTTCCCGGGATGGCCCCGTGGGGTGCGTGGTGGCGTAGGGCGGCTAGCACGAGTCGAAGCGGCCCCTCGTGTTGATGTCCCAGGTAAGCTGGTTGGGGGCCGGCGGCAGCGCCCTTCCCGGGGCTTCTGCCATGGGCTACGGTCCCTCTGTCGAGCCCTGTCCTGTGCTGGCCTCTGCGCCGCTTTCCAGTCCACATGAATCCGCTGCTGCTCCACCAACCGCGTGACGTCGTGGCGCGCGCTGGCAAGGTCGGTGAGGAATCTGTCGGCATGGTCAGGATTCCTGCGGGAGGGATCCAGCCGTGCAGCGGCGGTTGGCGTGGTTCAAGTGTGGCAGTAGGCCTGCCAGGTGCCCGACATCATATAGCCAGCTTCGGCTTGGAGGCGTTTGATCACGGCGGCCGATGACTTTCCCTCCTTGCGCTCCCGCCGGGAGGCGTGGAAGGACCTCCTGTATTGTTGGGCGCGCTAAGGTGCTCCCACCGCTCGCCGCGATCGGGGCGAGGAGCCGTCGTGGCTTCCCCAACAGTTGCACCGCTGCTGGGAGCCCCAGGTGCTGGACTGAGCGACATCCTGCTTCTGCGGCGGGCCCAAGCATGGAGCCTCCGTGGGCGCTTGGGGCATGGGGCTAGGTCGGTGGAAGCCTGGTCGGTCCTGGGCTCGTCGTCGGATGCGTGGATGGAAGGGACTTCTTGCTGATCGTCGTCGGCTGGGCGACCTTCGGGTGCCGGGTTCCAGTTTAGTTTTTCGGGCTCTGCCGAGACCTATTCATTTGCCGTCGCTGGTTCTGCTATGGAAATCTCTGCGCGCGCAGTTCGTCCGGCGGGGCGTTTGCGTTTGCGATTGCGGCGGCGCTGCCTCTAGGGGGCCGGGCCGCGGGCTCGCCCCGCGAGTCTTGCTGGCGCGCTGGCCCTGCATTCCTGCAGGGTCGGCGCTCGGCCGTTTGTCATCGGCGCGGTCTAGGGCGCCGGTGCGGATTGCTGATCCGGAGGGGGCGACGCCTTCTTGACTGTCGGGCTGGGCAGCTTGATGGGCCTGCTTTCCACCACCACCACCACCAGAAGTTGGAGGGGGGAAGGAAGAGGAGGACGAGGAGGAGGAGGACGAAGAGGAGGAGGAGGAGGAGGAGGAGGAGGAGGAGGAGGAGGAGGAGGACGTGGAGGAAGAGGAGGAGGAGGAGGAGGAGGAGGAGGAGGAGGAGGAGGAGGACGTGGAGGAGGAGGACCCCCTCCCCCTCCAACTTATAGTGGTGGTGGTGAAAACAGGCCCATCAGTCTGGGGCGCCGGGGCGGTTTGCCGATCTAGCGGTGGCGATGCCTTCTTGGCGGTCGGGCTGGGCAGCTGGCTCTCAGCGCGCGGGGACCCCGTTAGAGCCGTTGCGTCGGGTCTGTGGGGGAGCGGGCCGTCAGGCCAGCTATAGCGGAGGACCAGGGCGGCGCGCTGCAGGGGGCGAGGCGCTCGTGCTCCTGGGCGCGTCGTTGGCGAGGGGCCCTCGCTGTTCGGCGATCGCAAACGGGGCGTGGAGTGGCGACGGGTCCGTTTCCATGGGGAATCGCGGAGTTCCGCCGCCGAGCGAGGCGGCACCCGCCGCATTTTGGGGAGGGCGCCTCCCCCGATCCATGGATGTGGCCACCGCGCGCCAAATCCACCGACTCTCGCGGCCGGGCGCAGCTTGTCACCGGGAGCGAGTTGCCAAGCGCGTCGCGTGCGTGTTCTTCAGGATGGGGGCCGAGCCCGGGCGCTTCTGCCGCAGCGTGGGCGCCCCATCGCCTGCCGAAGCCCTTGCGTCGATCAAGGAAGTCGCAGCTTCCGCCAATGGAATGAGCCCTTCGTCCCGGAGAACGCCCGGGGACAGGTCTTCGTCGGGGGCGTGGCTCCCGAACAGGGAGAGGGGGGGGGGCTGTCGCATTCCGCTTGCGGCCGTGCCCTGGGATCGAGGAGAGCCAGGCACCGGGGGCCGCTCAGCGGCGCGCGCCCCCCCACCCCCTTGCGCCGCAGGGCTGCCAGGTCAGAGCGTGAATCGCGTGGTCCACGATGGCTTGCTGCGCGGGGATCCTGGGGAGCCGGGGGCCGGGGGCTCTCTGCGATTGGGTTTGCGAGGTCCCCGTTGACCAAGGCCGCTCTTGGGGTTGACAAGGCTTTGCCCAGCCGTAGGAAGGTTGCGAGATTCTGCGGCTCACGGTCAGCGGGCGCGGTGTCTTGGGCCTCCGGCGCGGGCGCTGTTGGCGTGCCGCGTGGCTCTTCCGGTGCATTGCCTTGCGCCCTTGCGCGTGGGCAGCTGCGCATGCGCTTGGCCCCGCGACTTCACGAGCTCCTGTAGGCGCCGCTGGCGCACGAAAGGTGGGCGCGACATGCCGCGTCCGTTAGGTTGGGCGCAGGGCTCTAACCATTCTGCGCTGGCGCCCTTCCTGAACGAGCCAGGCAACGACATGCCCGAGCACGTGCTGGTCGGAGCCCCAGGTCTCGCCAGCCAGGGACTGCGGTTATCCGCTCAGGCCGCGCGCGGTCGATGACATCCC